CAAGACAATTTGTGTGTAGGACTGACCCGCAACATGGAGGTAACACACTACTCATGAGGTTGCTGAAAACTCTTCGACGTCCCATCGCCGATTTCGTCCTTCTTATAATCCATCTGGTTGGCGGATTCACAGAGTAAGATTCACGTGATGAGGGAATCTTCCGTACGAGATGTCTTCGCCTGAAGAGCTAGCCAATAATCTTGTGACCATATGAGTGATGAATGGCGATCACATCAACCGATCATCCTCCCATAGCTGAACGGTTGAGTGCTCAAACTAGTAAACGGGATGTAGCAGGTTCGAAACCCTAATGAGATCATCATCACCATCACGGAAAGCAACATCATGAGATGCGCACTGCTGACGATTTCCAAATAAGGAGGAAACAATTGTACATTGCTTCTCGACTTCTCGGCACAGATTGGCTGTCCTTACTGGACGGAGTCTGCATTAAAATTCCAAAATACCTTCACCCTACCATCAATATCAGTGCGTTCTTTCGCCTCAACCGGTAGAAGGCGCGACATCTTCTGTACACTTGTTACGTCATGAACACTCACACATTAGGGCAGCTTTCACTTACTGACCATAGGTTGCCAGTGGACACCTAGTGCGAACTAATCACGGTTTTTAGTTGGGCTGTAAAAGTCGTATTGCTGTTATGATGAGAAGCAATGGAATAGCTATTGTGGTTTACAGTGCTTTTGGATTCCGACGCACTCGTCGTCCGATTAGATGCTGTCGGCGTGGATCATCGATTCGTTTCCCCGAACTTTCCCAATTGGTTGTTTTCTATTGTACTTTTGAATGGTATAATTGTTAGCCAACACTTTTATTGGTCACTTCGATTGCCTGTCAACAGTTTCACTGTCGTGGTCCAATAACTTTTCTTGTCTAAGCTCCGATAAAGATATAAAAACACCTGCATTTTTAAATACTGATTTGAGCAAACCATTAGTCGGTGAATCCACACAGTAGAATGTTTGGCTACTGACCATCACCCATTGTCGATGACAAGATAGGCGGGAACTGGAAATCTTTTCACGACAGATCGGTCTCTGTGCAGCGGTTATAAGGAGGAATTGCGTCCACAGGGTGGAAACCGTCTGGTTCTTGTCGTAACAACGTTTCACACACTGCCTTTTACAGTTCTCCCAAGCGGATGCTATGTAGTTCCCGACTACCTGGGCCTGATTGGACGCATTTCAGGTCTAAATGTTTGAAATTGGACGTATAAAATAACCACCGGTCATAGTAGCAATAAATATACCACAATTTTGAGACGATTTATACAAATAGTAATGAAGACATAAACGTAGTACACTACTTAAAGGGTTTCTGCAAACTCTTTGACATCCGTCCACTGGTAGGCACAATCGCCGAGTTCCGAGAACTGAATTCTTTTCGAATTTTCATAACATATTCACCGCAATTCTTCATAAAGGAAACTACTCACAAGGTTCCTGAAAACGCTTCGACCTTTTGAGTAGTTTCCCATATGAAAATACACTGCGATATCTCGAATATCGTGCCAACTGAAACATGAGGCGGCCTATGTGCAACACATTCAGTTGCAGAATGTCATAAACGAGAGATTCAGTTGAATCCCTCAGGTTTGATTGTAGAATGTATTAATATATGCTTTGATATGTCCATAATATATCATTTATGAGTCTTGACGCCTATCCGCCCCAAGCCATCTCAACAGAGCTGGCATGTGTGGCTCACAGTGCAGCAGTGGAGCGTTTTCATTGAAATGATATAAACGTCCAAACCTATTCAGTGAGGGCTTCCAGCTGTAGCAACCTTTCTGTGCCTAACTGCCGCGCCACCCCCTGGAAGCACAAGGGCTGGGATACTGCAAGGTTGCCCAAACCTGAACAGAGGAAATCGAGAGGCAGAGGTCGGGTTCGAACCACGGACGTTTTGGTCAGTGAATTCGCGCTGTAACCACTCGGGCCATCTCGCTCCCTCCCATTTATTAAGGGGGTGCATCCAGTGAAAACTACCTGCCAATCGAAATAATGTGTAAACAATAAATATTTGTATATCAGGGCACTAATCTCCATTCAAATCTAAGAATTTGTAAATTCGTGCAAACCGTCCAGTTCTTCTCAGAGTAAAACCTCAGAATCCGTCGAGTCAGCAGCAGTTCCGAACAGATTATTGATTTTTCTAATAGAGATACTTTGTACATTTTTGACCGAGGCGGTAGCGTTCGTCCAACCGCTTTAAAATCTCAGTCAAGGCGCGATACAAACTGCCCCTTCGATTCCAACAGGCGAATTTCGTTGACGTTCCGAAACAAGCAGCGAACAGCCATTGTTCAGTCAGACGAGAAACTAGTAAGAATATGACAAGAGAGATAGATTTAGTTGGGTTTCTCGTTAACCCCAGGGCAACTAATAAATGAATGCATTCCGAGAATAAACCTAAGTACTTCAGCCAGAATTTGCATGGAGAATGAACGGTGAAATAAACGAGGCATTGCACTTGTGAAATACGAGTGAATGACTGAACGCTGAGTGGCGCTAAATCCTGTCGAACTGCGGGTTATTGATACTACTGATTAGCCGCCCGTGACCGAGCTTTTGTGATTCCCCTCAACAGCGCGGGAGGTCCCGAATACGAGATCCCCTGGAGATTCGCGATGGACCATCTGTCACGTTTCACAAGGTGCACTGTCAAAAGAGGATAAGAACATAACAAAAGAGGAATACACATTGCCTCACTAAAGTCGATGACGATGTTCCAGCACGTCCGGCAGAATTATTGATCCGATCCACACTGAAGTCTAGTTAGATCCTCCGAGATAAGATATTGGGATAGTAAGGATAAACGGAGTACGGATTAGAACTTGAGGAGCAGAGGTTTTTGATCCACACTAAATCGTCGAACCCGGAGATAAGAACATTAGGAACACAGTATGTACTCTATTCCCAAATTTTTGGCTCCACCGCATGAGGTGCTTGTTTTAACAAGCACTAGTTTAGTTTGGAGCGCAATCAGATTCGGTTTGACAGAATGACTTTAAAACCAACGAATACTCCTCATTTAAGGACATGATAGCTGAGCAGTTTTTGGATCAATCCGATCGAAAAATCAATGCTTTGAACAAGACTCGGCCGCTTACGGATCGGATATCGTTGGTGTGATTAAATTCATAAATCAAGAGATTGAATCCCGACCGATTGTTCAAAATACTGAAGTCGATTTTTTCACTCGGCTCTCGACGACAAACCAGCAAAGACGGTTGGACCTGACGAACTGAAGAAGACACTACTCTGGATCTTAGAATTATACATCAAACGTATACTTGTTCGTAGGTACCCGTTAGAAGGTGTGTACTGGTATAACATCACATATGATAGGAGATTACATAGGTTTTTTGGTTAGTTTGGGATCCGAATATCAGATACGAACAACTTTTGTTGAACTATTCCCTTCATTGACAGGCGCACGCCACCACTCGTCGAAATCTTTGAAAGTTGGCCAAATTAGTAGTTTGGTTGCGTATATGGATAGCATATATCTCATTAAAAGCCGATTTAGTCAGTTTTATGTACCGACTGATGTTTCTTTTTGTTTGTTGATGCGGATGCCAACGTGAACTACGTTTGGGGTCCTGGCCGTTGTACTTCCTATATTGTATGACATACCAGCAAGGGAGGAATCTAACAACTGCGGGTGCTGTCTCAAACCGCTCATCTGGCCATCCCAAATCGGTATTCGCTAGCATTGTCTTATCAATGTTTAACTGTGTCACAGCGCTTTGCACAGAACACTCTGACCGAGCAACAGCCAGAATCGAGGTCAAACAGAGGCTGTGAAACAGAGGATACTGAGCGGGTTTGATAAAGTCTCAGTCATGAAGGGTACTGCCACCGGCATAAAGTCCTCATAAGGGATGGATGGGCATACCTGTCAATCCAGACAAGGTGGGAACATCTGAACTTATCCGGAGGAATTCTAGGAAGGAAAAAGACATTACATTCGGTAATGTTGCCTATACAGAGTTGAATGGAATAAACGATCTGGCACAACCACCCTGTGAAAGTGGATTAACCTTTGTCTATGTTCGCATATCGTGCGGCGTAGACAGGAGTCATCTAGACCCTTCTGTAGACCCTTCCTGGACTGCAAGCAACTTTTACAACTTCACTGCTATGGAAATTCCGATCGATGGGTTGAGAGGCGCCTTGTCGTGTCGGCCGAAAGAGGTCACGTGCGCAGTTGGCTAATTCGAAAGACCACAGTTCCATCTTCCCATGAAATGATTTGTTTCGCTGTTTCTTGCAAAAAACCACCGGTCTTGATTGTTTCGCATCTGTGGCTGAGAGCACGCAATCAAAACCGTTCACATATCACAACCAATCTCTTTTGCCACCTATTTATATGAGGTGGACGTTGAAAATACCGCAACTGCGTTGGGATGCTCAGCGTAGATTCTTCCTTTCGGCGTTTCCGGCTAACTCAGCCAGTGCGTAACGGATGGATGTTTTGTCCACACCGAAAATCAGCACTTGTTTCATGCAGACGTCGATTAGTGTGTGCGTCTGTGTCTACCCGTGGGTTATCTGACCGGCTACGCAGACAGGCTTGATAATTAAAAAACAGGCATCACGTGACGGCCGGACCGACGTTATCTTGTCTGCGAATGCGAAATCTGCTTTCCAGTGGAGCTTTGCGGAACATTATCGAACTTTCGCGGTTGTTTGATCTCAAAGTGATCTTCTGTGGTAACCCAAGTACTTGTGAAAAAAACTAGGAACGGTAGTTAAAATGTGTTTGAGGCGTTTCTTTTATCCGCCAAGGAATGTTGGCCCAATGGGCGATGTGTGAATTGCCGGCTAAGGAACAATAGTCACTGCTGAATACACAGTTGGTGCGGAATGTCCGACGTTCTTCATCCTGTTATTCAGACAATTGTATTGGCTTTTCCAAGATGAATACGGCAATGGATATCTATTCGATGACCGTCGATTTAAACGTCACTTGTAATGTTATTGGCGGTAAATCAATCGCGAGACGGTTCCGTGATTCACGAAAGGGACAAGAAACCCTTTTTCATAAAAGAAACTACTCACAAGGTTGCTGAAGACTCTTCGACAGCCTACGACCGGTTTCGCCCTTTGTGGGGCTCATTAGGTAGGCACAGTTCCCGAGTTTCCATCAACCTTATGCTCTACTTGAACCCAAACTGGACTGATTTTGATAATTTATTCATCTTGTTTTTCACGGGGGACTCAAGTGAATTTCTCGCTTACGATATTCCACAACAGTCCGATTTGGGTTCAAGTAGAACATAAGTTTGGCAGAAACTCGGGGACTGCGCCTACCTGATGAGCCCCAAAAGGGGCGAAACCGGTCGTGGTCTGTCGAAGAGTTTTCAGCAACCTTGTGAGTAGTTTCCTTTATGAAAATATACTGCGATATCTTGAATATCGTGCCAACTGCAACATGAGGCGGCCTGTGTGCAGTACTTTCAGTTGTTCAATGTTACAAACGAGAGGTTCAGTTGAGTCTCGTAAAAAAACCAAATTGATTTGCAAATGAGTGTATTTCTTGAGGACAAGAAACCCATTCAGTAGGACATTTGTACGCGCACAAGTTTTTACGAGCCTACGCTCCGGATTATGTTGTCCAGTGAAACAATACACTTTGCGTTCCAGTTTCTTGGTATTAAACTCCATGAAACCGTATCAGACGCGTTCGCTCTTCCAATTCGTAACGTTTGAGACTGTTCTGAAAAGCTGAGCTGCATGAAAAACCGAGCCAGAAGACGTCTGGGAATGACTATTCCGTGTAATTTTAGAGATGAGTGTTGAACTAGGGACAGGTCCCAGTGTTTTTCGGAATACCTTCTGACAAGATTGTGTCCAGCGATGTGGCAAGTCACGTGTAACTGAGCAATCAAAGTAGTGTTTTGCAAGAGCAGAAAATGATGAATGCCGTAGTCTGGAACTCTCACCGTCCGTCAAGTAAAACTGTGCACTCAAAGCATACCGAGTTTTTGATCCCACCGTTTCTTGTATATGCCGTCTAATCTACATTGACTAAATGCATGTGTACTCGCATTTGGCAACAAGGCAGTTGACGATGAAAGCAATTGACAGTTCTCCTGTTATCCGCTCTCTCCGGCGGCAATATCAGTGAGGGTGAGGAAAGCGTAAATCAAGCAACAAACTGTGCTGAGGCGGTATCGGGGCCACCAGCGTGATCCAATGGCAGTGGTCACGTCCAAGAGTAGACTGTCAACAGCAGGTCCCTTCTCGAATCAACAAAAATTACTCTACATACAAGAATGGTTCAGTTCGTTGAAAAAATCTTGAAATCAGCTGTTCAGGAGCTTCCTGACCGACCATAAACTCCCCTAGGTATTGATTTGATAGACATCTCCCCAACTTGGAAACACTTGTGGATGTGAGGCTACAAGTCAGCAGTTGTGAACTCCCGTCATATGGGGCTTTAGCGATAACAGTTTGCCAGAAAAAGGCTAAGTGATCATCCCAGTTACTGGGACAATGTGGACAACAGATTATTACTTCACGTAACCTCACTTATTTAGGTGTTTTAAACACTTGAAGCGCCCCAAAAACGTCAAACGGTTAATTGCTCAGCGGGAAGGATGACCCCTGGATGAACTCCTCTGAGAAGCCATCACTTGAAGAATGGCTGAAGGAGTGGGGAGCCCTAACTCATCTTAGTGCAAGTCAGTCACACTACTGATCAACCACCCGAGGCCAAATGGTTAATCTTGAACTCTCGGCAGGGAGATTGTGAAATTGACTCTTTCTGGCTATGTATCACCCATTACGTTGACAAGTGAAATTCACCACGTCTATTCTATCCCCATTTGTAATCCCCGCCCCACTTTTGTGTTTAGTGCGTCTATATAAACTGACGTTTGTTTGTCCTTACCACTTCACTCAGATGGCCTTGAGGTCATGCGGCCATTTGTAGCCGACTTTGTGCACGTGTGACTGTCGCACGTGGGAGCCTGTTTGTTCGCTTGCTCTGTACTTCTGTAGTCCAAGTGGACCATTTGTTTTGGACGAGTATCTACTGTCGAGGTTTGTATAATCTATGAGTTTATCTTACACTACCGCACACTTACACTTACCGTATAGAAACCCAGCTCCGACTCTGTTTTGCCTNCCTGGGCGCCCGCTGAATCAACGTGAAGAATTTGGTGGGCGGTGTATCATCTTTTGTGTTGACAGTGAAATTCTCCACGTTTATTATGTCCCCATTTGTAACCCCCGCTACACTTTTGTGTTTAGTGTGTATATGAACTGACGTTTGTTTGTCCTTACTACTTCACCCAGATGGCCTTGAGGTTATGCGGCCATTTGTAGCCGACTTTGTGCACGTGTGACTGTTGCACGTGGGAGCCTATTTGCTCCCTTGGTTTGTACTTTTGTTTCGGACGAGTATCTACTATCGAGGTTTGTATATATGTGAATTTGTCTAACACTAATAGTACCGTATAGAAACGCAGCTCCGACTTTGTTTTGCTTTCCGGAGGTGCTGGTATTACGCGTCACTCAAAGATACCGTTCGTCCGTTACAGGCTATTTGTAAGCTAAGGACGGCTGATGAATCCCAATGAGGAAAGAGCTGTGAAACATCTGTACGATGCCTCTTGAAAATAGAATGGTTTCGCTTAAAGGACGAAGCCTCTTTTCGAGCTGAATAGCTTGAAAGAGAGTACAACCAACTGTGCGAGCTACCAACAGATGAATATCAATATGGTGACTTTATTCACTTGGGAAACACGGAATCACGTTACGAAATTTAGAGTCTTGTGAGCCCTAATCGAATTCGCTGAGCACCACATACGTGAGATCTCACAAGGATGGTCCACAACTAGCAGGAAACGTGGATCTTTGGAGTTTTCACAACGGAACATGTTTGTTAGCAAGACAATGGCACCGTCTAATTGTTGGTCCATTGGTCCTGTATGTTTGTGGAGTTGGTGGCCTGAATGTCTACACGGTTGATTCTATCTGTAGATCGAGGTTGCGCGGAACGTGCGTTTCGTGATGCGGAGGGTGGAAGCGGAAAGACATGTCGCCAACTTCCTTGTCGTTTTTAAAAGCAAAAGATACCGCATGTTTTTATTCGAATATCTAAAACTGATCAAGACCCAAGTGCGTGTGTTTTGTTAGTGTAAATCTGCAAGTGTGATCTCGCTTTTGGATGAACTGGACGGTGGGGATAGTTGAACTGTGCATGTTGAACTACTCTCTCAACGGGGCGCCCACTCAGCCAAACGTCGAAGTCGAGAGAATTTAATGCCTATCGCCTCAATACATTTTAGACGACCAACTATCGGACAACCCATGTTTTGCAACTCAGATTGATTGTAGTGAAGGAAAAAAGGCCTTCGATGCCAAGTTATTCATCAGAAAATGCCAACTGACCGGTAACAGACCATTGGACAGGGATGCAAAACCCTCGTTTGCATCTTATTTACAAAAACTGGATATCCATTCTCTTGAACTTTCCTGGATATTCATTGACTCCAATCATTCATTGCTCAAATCCAAGCAAATGGTACAAAGCGACTCAACAAATGCCGCAACGGACCTCCCCTTTTCAAAGCGAAATTCCACGAACAACACATACTACTCGCGTACCTCTCCATTAGAAGTATCACCGTTACACTAGTACCTTCTTGCTGTTCTGCACATTGAGATATCTCTTGGAGTTTTCGTTGTTGAACAACAAACTGGTTTTTTTCTCCGGATGTAACAAACTACTCACAAGGCTGCTAAAACTGTTTTGTTCTGGAAGGGCGAACTTATCCTCATTCCGGGCTGTTCGATAATGACTCTTTTCAGCTGAACTGATTGATTGACTGGTCGGAGACATTCAGCCTACTTAAGTCCATCTGTTTTGCACTCTTCAGAAGTGCAAATGTACGTAATCGCACGTACCGGACAAGTACCGATGTACTTTTGATTGTCACCTGGTCTTCTCATTTTTCGCCATGCAAATGGCAGCAACTGCTCGACCTAAGTTGACAATAGTACACAGTATTGTCAGAAAAAACGAGCACTGGACACAATCAGCGTGGAATTGCTCTTGATTAGTATGGTGACAGATTTGACACTTGCAAGTGGCCTTAGGTGAAAAACGCCCCGATTCGCTTGGTCTGTCCATTCATAATTCATGAGTCCGGGTGAGGACGCACGCCAAGTATGCATGAATGAGTGCAAAATGGGTTGAATTTAAACGATTCCTTCACGAAACCCAACTGAATAAACTGTTGAATCTAAGATAAAGCGTGGCTTAGAGTGGGTTCCAAAGTTAACTCTCATTAGTTCTTCCAGAGAAGACTTCTCTGCAAAGATTTGTCCTAAAATGGAATCAACACAGTTGTTCTTGGTATCATCGATCGCTCGAGAGGACACTGCCAAATTCAGGAAATTTTCTGCGATACATACAGCTTATTTGTAGTAAGTATGCAGACCGTTTGAGCTATTAACCTTAACTAGTGCTACGTGTGTTTTAACTTCCCGCTAAGTCGATCAATTCCTTTTTCCACATCGATTTACCACTCCCGCCTTGGAAGTTGTTTCACCTACACGGTAGATTTTGAATGCACCCGGGTATCAGGAAGGTCAGATTCCTGAAAGCAACCTCAGAACGCCCGGAACCTACAGCTCCACCAGAAACTCAACAGGAAAGCCGGCAAGCTTCCAGTCCAGTCAATCATTCAAACAATTCAGCAAAACCTGATGAGTGTTCTTGCACGCCACAGAAGCACGACCGAATGTGATCAGCGTTCAGGCTTTTCATAGAGGCCCGATCGATGTTGATGGGTGTTCATTAACGGCTATCAGACAGCCTGGATCAATGTCAGAAAGTCCTCTTTAAATAGCGTGGGGCTGTTATAACTTTTGCTCTCGCACTCGTTTGTTTGGAATAAAGCTGTTGTGTTCCCTTCTGTGAGTCTTTTTTAAGGCACTGGGCACTGGAGCTGGTCAGCAGCAGATATAACACCGGGCAAGATTGTTACAAATTCGTTTCATCTTAAAACTTCGTCATCGATCGGACCTTGGAGCGAGTGTTTTGAAATGCAGTTCCTACTGAGTTTATGTCGCTTCGTATGGTTGTAGCTCGTGAGTACGGCTCACTTGCGTCAAATTTGAGAGTATTCCGTATCAGCGCAGGAGCTTGAGAGATCGTGAGCTTAAAAATAGATGGACAGAGCGATTTAAAGCTTGTATCCTCCAGTTGAAACGAGTCTGGAGTGCAACTATAATTCTGTCAATAGCTTTTTACATCAAGTGGCCGCTGTTATGGTTTTATTCCAGTGCCCGGTGTTTCGGGCTGTGTTGAATTGAAGCCCAGTTGACTGATGAATCGTTTCAAGCTAGTTAAAATAATAGTAAAATGATACAAATAAAAAATGTGACACATTTTGGGTTCACCTAGAACACAGAGTTGACAGAAACTTGGGGAATACGCTTAACTGATGGGAATCAAGAAGGTTGGAACCGGTCGTGTACTGCCAAACGGTTTTCAGTAACATCGTGAGTAGTTTCCTTGATAAACACAAGAGATATTTTTCTGTTCATGCATGTATGCATAAGATCAAATGGATGTCGACAGTTAGTTTGAATTAGCGGGATATAGGAGACAGACCCAATTTAGAACCAGTGTGGAAATTAACGATATCATTTATTCCCGGGACACGGTTGACGGGAGTCTAGAGAAAGGTAAAAATGAAGTTTTTTCGGTCAGGTCCTGCCACAGTGTATAGCTATGTTTGTTAGAAATTGTGGCGAAATTAAGGCGCGGGAAGGAACTCAGTGTCATTCAGCGATCTTCGTGTTTCTCCGTCTCCTGGGCAATTCCCCTTTTTTAACGGTAAAATCGATTGCAATTCCTATATCTGGAATAATAATTCTTTTTTGGTCGATTTCAACTGAATTTCGATGAATTCAAGAAAACGTGTAGACAGAATTGTACCAGGGACGAAAAGTGTTTGAAATGGCTTAAAGGCATCTCATCAAATAATTTTACACCTCTGTGAAAGGGCTTCCAACTGCGTGTTGCTCATACATTTTTCACAAATAATTTGTTACTGCCTACAACATCGGCTCTATTCCTGTCCACATCTCTGCTTTCTACTCCTCAAGGTAACGGATTCATCGACGGCGACGAATTGGAAACGTTTCTCAACCGACTAGTGGACTGCATCATTCCCGATGAGGCAAAACAGGTGAATTAGCACCGGCTGATTTTCTCTGTTTATCTCGCTGCGTTTGATGAAAAAGGCCTTTCTCCACTCTGTCATTGGTGTTTCGCCCGACTGTGCGCTTTTTTCAGGTCCTAATGGATGTTGTCCAGACAAACTCTAATGTTGTGCGGGCGGTCTGCAGAAAAACACCATTGTTCTTCATGTCACTTTGTCGACACATGTAATTATATCAGGAATCGGACAGAATGTCTGATTCTGCAACGCTGTGGACATTCATCCTTGTTTACTTTGACCATTTACTGAATTGATTTGACCTGATCACACGAAGTGGGAAGCAACAGAGTGCGACTCACTATGAATAAATGTTAAGGTAGATAGAGAATGTCTGTTCTGCAACGCTGTGGACATTCATCCTTGTTTACTTTGACCATTTACTGAATTGATTTGACCTGATCACACGAAGTGGGAAGGAACAGAGTGCGACTCACTATGAATAAATGTTAAGGTAGATAGCATAGATATAAATATTGATTTATATATATATATATATAAAGGTAGGTCTATTGGGTCAGGATTTCGTAGTTACATAAATGTATGAAATACCTAATGGTATTCCTAATCATAGGTATTCGTGATACACTACTCATAAGGTCGCTGAAAATTCTTCGATAGCACATGACTGGATTCGCCCTTTTTGGGGCTCATCAGATAGGCGGAGTCCCCGAAATTCCATCAACCCTATGATCTATCTGAAACGATAACGATATACACTCATTTGTAAGCAAATTTAGTTTAGCGAGAGACTCACCTGAAACCTTGTGATTAGTGCATTACGAATATACACGTATCGCGATATCTCGAATATCGTAGAAACTAAGATATGGGGCGGCCTGGTGCAGCACATTCAGTTGCCTGGAAACATTACAAACGGTATATTTAGCTGGGTTCCAGGTGAGTCCCTCGCAAAACCAAATTAGTTTGCAAATGAGTGTATTTTGCTACTCAAAAGTAGCTTAGCCTACTCCGTATATTTGCAAAACATAGGCATGTGGTAGCCGCCGCAGAGAAACTTAGATTTTTTCGGATGTCTGAAGCGTTTGTACCACAACACGAAAAGTACTTTTAAACTATACTACCACTCTTTTTTATAAACTACACCAAAGTTAGTGAGGGTTAAACTAATTCGGTTGTCAGGTCCTTCAAAACCCACATTACTCTCGTCTTTCTACACTGTCGTTCGAGAATGCCCCTATCAAAATGGAGAAACACTGAACTCAGGTTTTGCTCTTATTAGAGATAATCAGCGGTGCTTATCCTTTGCCTCGAATCCGATGTGTAAGTTTCCTTGATAAACACAAGAGATATTTTTCTGTTCATGCATGTATGCATAAGATCAAATGGATGTCGACAGTTAGTTTGAATTAGCGGGATATAGGAGACAGACCCAATTTAGAACCAGTGTGGAAATTAACGATATCATTTATTCCCGGGACACGGTTGACGGGAGTCTAGAGAAAGGTAAAAATGAAGTTTTTTCGGTCAGGTCCTGCCACAGTGTATAGCTATGTTTGTTAGAAATTGTGGCGAAATTAAGGCGCGGGAAGGAACTCAGTGTCATTCAGCGATCTTCGTGTTTCTCCGTCTCCTGGGCAATTCCCCTTTTTTAACGGTAAAATCGATTGCAATTCCTATATCTGGAATAATAATTCTTTTTTGGTCGATTTCAACTGAATTTCGATGAATTCAAGAAAACGTGTAGACAGAATTGTACCAGGGACGAAAAGTGTTTGAAATGGCTTAAAGGCATCTCATCAAATAATTTTACACCTCTGTGAAAGGGCTTCCAACTGCGTGTTGCTCATACATTTTTCACAAATAATTTGTTACTGCCTACAACATCGGCTCTATTCCTGTCCACATCTCTGCTTTCTACTCCTCAAGGTAACGGATTCATCGACGGCGACGAATTGGAAACGTTTCTCAACCGACTAGTGGACTGCATCATTCCCGATGAGGCAAAACAGGTGAATTAGCACCGGCTGATTTTCTCTGTTTATCTCGCTGCGTTTGATGAAAAAGGCCTTTCTCCACTCTGTCATTGGTGTTTCGCCCGACTGTGCGCTTTTTTCAGGTCCTAATGGATGTTGTCCAGACAAACTCTAATGTTGTGCGGGCGGTCTGCAGAAAAACACCATTGTTCTTCATGTCACTTTGTCGACACATGTAATTATATCAGGAATCGGACAGAATGTCTGATTCTGCAACGCTGTGGACATTCATCCTTGTTTACTTTGACCATTTACTGAATTGATTTGACCTGATCACACGAAGTGGGAAGCAACAGAGTGCGACTCACTATGAATAAATGTTAAGGTAGATAGCATAGATATAAATATTGATTTATATATATATATATATAAAGGTAGGTCTATTGGGTCAGGATTTCGTAGTTACATAAATGTATGAAATACCTAATGATATTCCTAATCATAGGTATTCGTGATACACTACTCATAAGGTCGCTGAAAATTCTTCGATAGCACATGACTGGATTCGCCCTTTTTGGGGCTCATCAGATAGGCGGAGTCCCCGAAATTCCATCAACCCTATGATCTATCTGAAACGATAACGATATACACTCATTTGTAAGCAAATTTAGTTTAGCGAGAGACTCACCTGAAACCTTGTGATTAGTGCATTACGAATATACACGTATCGCGATATCTCGAATATCGTAGAAACTAAGATATGGGGCGGCCTGGTGCAGCACATTCAGTTGCCTGGAAACATTACAAACGGTATATTTAGCTGGGTTCCAGGTGAGTCCCTCGCAAAACCAAATTAGTTTGCAAATGAGTGTATTTTGCTACTCAAAAGTAGCTTAGCCTACTCCGTATATTTGCAAAACATAGGCATGTGGTAGCCGCCGCAGAGAAACTTAGATTTTTTCGGATGTCTGAAGCGTTTGTACCACAACACGAAAAGTACTTTTAAACTATACTACCACTCTTTTTTATAAACTACACCAAAGTTAGTGAGGGTTAAACTAATTCGGTTGTCAGGTCCTTCAAAACCCACATTACTCTCGTCTTTCTACACTGTCGTTCGAGAATGCCCCTATCAAAATGGAGAAACACTGAACTCAGGTTTTGCTCTTATTAGAGATAATCAGCGGTGCTTATCCTTTGCCTCGAATCCGATGTGTAAGTAGAGTGTACTCCCAGTGAAAGGAAGAAGGCCTTCTCTGCGGGGTTGTTTAGTGGAGAAACACCAACTGAACAATTACAGACTATTGGACACGGAAGCAAAACTCTCATCTCCTTGAACGTGTCTTTCTGAACTTTCTTTGATATTCATTGACTGTTTCTTAAATGCGAGCAAATGCTACGAAGCGATTACACAAATTCCGTAATAGATCTCACATTTCGAGAAACGCAAAGCGGATTCACGAGAAGAAACTACTCGCATGCCTCATCAGTAGTATCCACCGTTATCCGACAAGGGCTGTTACTGTGTTGGTCGTGTTAAAGGACTGTGTCGCCTGTTTGGACTTTCCAGTGAGGTAGCTTCATGAACATTAAAAAAATCGTTCAGCTGTAGCACCCTTCCAGCGCCTAGCTGCCATGCCACTCAAAGGCTGCCCGAGGGTTGGGATACTGCCAGGTTACCCGAGCCTAGGCAGAGAAATTCGAGAGATCGGGTTCGAACCACGGACTTTACGGTCAGTAAATTTGCGTTCTAACCATATGGGCCATCTTCCCTCCACCCGCATGAGCCCTTGGATCTACACGGACTACACGGATAATACACTTCAAAGGGGCACCTTGTAGCTTTTGCGCTGAGGGGATGAAAGTTTCCACCTGTGCTAACTAGATCCATGTGAAGCTTCGAGGAGACTCTAGAATCAACTCAACTGGCATAATTGAAAACTAACTTCTGAGAGTAATGCACGCTGCTACTCAGTAATTGAAAGTAGCCACCAAACATGAGAAGCTGTCATTTACTCCACAAGACAAGTTCGGACATAAAATGGGCGAAAACTGAAGGATTCGAGTCTGAAACATACACATTTCTGAGGGAGATGATTTTTCCATAACTAAGTCAGAACTACTGTTCTCAAGAACAAGTAGATATGCAGTTGGTGGTAACAGTTTACTGCCTGAAACTTGTACCATGACCTAAGAAAACCCTGAGTTGTACTGTGTTGTCATATCCGAAGAGCAATCAGTGACGATAAAAAATCAATGGGGCTCGAAGTTACAGGAGGGCACACTGAAATGCAGGCAAAATTGTTTGTGCTGGCTTATCGCCGTAATATCTCTGATGCGCGTTTGATTTTTCCTACATGCTAGGCACAGCTAATTGCCAGAGCAAAAAAGCCACGTGATCCGCGAACAGATATCACTTAGTCGAAAATGGGACGGAGCTATACATTCAATCAATTTAAAGGCGATCGATAACACAACGCCAATGCAAAGTCAGCCAGTAATTATCCGTTGTGGTTGAATTGAATACAGAAACAATGCACCCTGCCACGATGCAAACTACGGTGGGAGTTTCAAGTAGAGCATAAAATTAACGGAACCTCAAGAACTGCGCCTACCTGATGAGTCCCAAAAGGAAGAAACCGGTCGTGGGCTGTCGAAGAATTTTCAGCAACCTTGTGAGTAGTGTATTACGTTCATACGGTGGTAGTTGTTCGGACAGCATAGACAGACTGCATTTTTATCGATGAACACGGCTCACGTTTTTGCTTAAGTTATCTCTAAATCAACTCATGAAATGCTTGCTTTTGCCTCCGGACGAGAATCTTAAAATGCCCGTGTAAAACAAAGGTATCCAACCCAGGTGTCCCTCATATGTTTAACATTGGATGTCCGCCAGAACATTTTTCGTTTGATATTTAAGACCTTGTTGCCCATAGCAACGACCAGAATTGTTTGAAAGCTGAAATTTCAGGTGGACATGAATACTGTTTCTCCCATGCGAAACTAGAGTCCAGTACAGTTCCCCTCACCCCGTTCTTTGTGGGCAAATAGGCACGCGACTGTGTTGATCATGTGACCGAGGAGTAAGACGCGTCAACGCCAGACTCAATTTTGGTGAAAAGTTGAATACTGCTTCGTCTTTGATCGGATCAACCATTCAAAAGCCAGAGAAGACAACAGTTTTAATGCAAAAGGATCATGTATTTGAATCAAACTTTAAATGGCCAGTCTTCAGGCTATCAAGTGATCAATTTAGTCAAATTCCCGGGTTATTAGGACATTACCTTTTCAAGAAGAAAGCCAAAAACTAATAAATTATTTGATCGTTAACGGTTCTTTGCTGGACTATCAATGTTTACTGCTGTTGTGCGAAACTTTACTGGATCTTTTAATTCGAAGATCACAAACTTGCGTTTAATTGATCCGAATATGCCAAACTAAACATAGTACTGTCTGAAAATTTGTAAGCAGCGGTCCATTTTACCGGAAGTTTGTTTGGAAACGGCCCATTGCGGAACGCTTGCCCGGAGACGTTTGTATCAATCTAATTCAGGATTACAGTTCCTTGAGATCTCATCCAGAGATCTCGTTGAAATTCCCAGATCATTTCAAAACATTGAATGTTATTAGTCGTTGACGTTGTACTGATCTCGTGTATGCCAGTTTGAGTGCATACTACTGATGAAACCTGCAAGTAGTGTCTATTTATGTGTCCGATGGAAGGTTGATACGAATATCATGTGGACGCTTTTTGCAGCGTTTGTTTAATATTGTTTAATATTCTAAGAAGGTCTAGGAAAGTTCAAGAAGATGCTTCAGAATTGCGCAGGTGGATTTTTCTTTCATGTAAGCTGCTATGTTTACTTTCTTTCTTTTTTGGATAACTGTTTTCAAATTAAGGCGTCACAAGTCCAAAGTCTCCATATTGGGAATTTTTAACAGCACATTGAAAATCTGAACATCTGCTTTCATCAGTTACTGACTATAAGTGACTTAGATGGAAGAATAACTCACACGGTTAGTGAACCTTCAATCTGGGGAGTTGTAAACCGAGGAATTAGTCAATTCGTACTGCAACGAAGTGCGAGGTCCATGACTGAAGAATGAGTGGCGCCATATCCTGGTGATTAGATGCTCATGACTCAACGGCTAAGAGTTCACCTACTTGCCGGAAAGTCGCGAGACTCCCGTTAAGTATGAAAGTACCCTACAGTGCTTCTTGGACTGTTTAAGTCTTCCGAAAGATCCAAGATTATTCAAATTTAATGGGAAATCCACTCACCTTCATGGTCTCACAGAAGGATTCTCCCTCGTTCGAAAAGCATTTTGCAGGAGGTTATCCTTGTAGGGAACCCAGAATGCCTTCTCCATGGTGTTTCTTTGGTGGAATTATTGTTCTGTTTTTGTGCCCGCGATCTCTTGTTCGGCTACTTTTAGTTGATAAGAGCGTTCACCAATCGCACTGTAGATTCTCCACAAGAGTCTGAGTACATCTGGCGCTAAGTCTCGCTGTGACCGACAGATTCGTCAAAAAAGCACCGGGTTAGTCACAAATAGGGCAAATGGAACTTTAATTTAGGACGGGGAGAAGAAAGATCTCATTGCGGCAAATAGAGTTGTTGCTAACGAAGGCTGAGTTAATAACCCGAGCGCGTATCCTTGTTAACGATTTCTTGACATCTCCGTAATCAGTTCAACCAAATGAAGTTCTCGAACGTTGAGTAGCAAGGTGAACAATACTCCTTTGACTGCGTGAACACAAAAGGCATGCGACTTCCTCACAGTGTGAGAAGAGATAAATACGCCATGCTCTCGGTCCACCTCCAAGTCTCTTTCGAACAGCCATATTCAATGAAACATTTCGTGCGCCGGTTCAGTGATAACCTGAGGGAATCAAGCATACTCATCGATATTTCGCGACCCACATTCTCTGATATTGTTGTCAGCCCCACCAACTGTGGGAGATCAATTTTGAATATTCTACTTGTGTAACGGTGATACCACTGATGGAAGGCACACGAGTAGTATGTGTTTTTCTCGGAATTTCGCTTTGCGTCTCTTGAAAAGTAGAAATCTGTTGCGGAATTTGTGGAGTCGCTTTGTACCATTTGCTTGGATTTGAGCAATGAATGATTGGATTCAATGAATATCCAGGAAGGTTCAAAGGGACGCATTCAGGAGAAGGCGGGTGTCCAGTTTTTGTAAATAAGATGCAAATGAGAGTTTTGCTTCCCCGTCCAATGGTCTGTAACCGGTCAGTTGGTATTTTCTAATAAATAACTCCGCAACGAAGGCCTTCTTCCTTTCACCGGTATCCCCGTTTTTGTCTGTAAGCTGGTTGTTCTTAATTACTATTTGCTGTTCTAAAATTGACCAAAATAGCGAATTTTTCATTCACGGACTTAGGATTTCTCCAAGAGCGACTGGGACGAATTGGTCAGCGAACTAATGACTGCAATCGATACGAATAATGACAACAGAATCGATCTCCGTGAAGTGAGTTGCCATGTGATTCCGCACTGAAATGCGTTTCTATTTTTCCCACTTAAGTTGTTGATCCCAATTGATGTGGTCTCATTAGATTTTGATTCAAATACGTACAGGCAAGTGCAGGCAGGTCGAGATGAGACATTACTCTCTGTTGATTTTTAAGACGATGGAAAGGAAATGTGAAGTCAGTACAAATGTGGGCCACATAGTAAATAAATGAAAGTTTCCCATCCACACATCACTTTCGTTTGGGAAATGCTCCCCTCGTCTCGTGGGCGAAGACCGAAGTAGTGAAGCACTGGAATCGACGTTTGATCTTATTAGACCTCATCATTAGTGCATATCCTCGGCCGTGCCGAGGTTTGAACTCTTCACATCTGACATGCGAGGCGAGCGCGTTACCACCCGTCCTGAAAAGTTGAGTCACTCGATCGACATAGCCAGGACGGTTACTGCGCCGAGCAGACCGGGCGTGTCGTTCAGGCACGATGAACACGTTCACCTGTTCAGAGGTGTAAACCCAGATGTGTCTGGTGTGGGCCAATCAAGTAAGGGCGATACGTTAACGTCGCTTCACATGTCAGATGTTGGTAATCGAAGAATATGCACCGCCGAGGAGCTAAACTCAGAGCAAAACGCAAGTCCAAGTCCGTCATGGGTTACTTGCTGACCTTTGGAGCATATCGATAGGGATTCGATCTTGGCACCGAAATGTCTTCGCCACGATCTGTGTTCTCCAACTGTACCCTCACTGTTCTTTACCATGAAGATATTTCTGCAGCCGTCAGTCTACTGGTAAGCTAATTCACTCAAGTGTTGATCTGCCATTTGTAGACGTACGGTCGTTTTCTCCACGAGAGTTGTGGAGTAGTAATCAAACTGCGTTTTTTTAAAATGCATAATCATACATGTCATGCAATCTATTGTACACTTTAACTATGTGATCAACCAAATTCAGTTTGTTATCGAAGCGTTTCCAGCAGCCTCCAAGAAGGTATGCTGCGATATCTCGAATGACTCAGTGTCAGCTGAAACGTAGGTGTACAGCACATTCACTTGGAGACTATCCAGAAAGATTCCGTTGAGTCGAACGTTAAAACCTCACTGGTGTGCAAATGAGCGTATTTCACAAAAGACATTTGTCATCTTGTGTGGCTAGAGGGCTTCATTCTTATATGAAAGGAATGAAAAATAGATTGTTTTCTTTTTCAAACTGAGCAGAACTAACATTGCATACTTCTAACACAGCATGAAACGAACTCACTTTGAATACCGCTGAAGCTGCGAACTCTTGATCTGGCTCCTAAAGCGATCCCTTAGATTTACCCCAAGGAAGAATTTCTAATTTATGTCAACTGCCGCTGGGCTTCTGACGGGAGGCTCACATGGAACCCAGCTGAATCTTTCGTGTGTGATACACTTACTAATCTGGATGTGTTACTCTAGGCTGCCTCGTGTTTCAAGTTGGTCGTGGGCTGTTAAAGAGCTTTCAGGAACCTTAGGAGTAGTGTATTACGTCCATCCAACTTATTGTGACATCTCGAATTTCGTACTACCTGAAACATGCAGCGGCCTGGCGTAGTTGGATATGAAGGT